TTTGTAAGGAATCTAGGCAGCTTCTCTTGCTCAGATCCTTTATGTGGTGCCAGTCATCTGCTCCTTTCCGTATCTTTAGCCAATGATCATTTTTGAATTTACCCTGGCACAGGTTTTTAAAGGCCTTGTCTTTGGGACATGTCTTTCCAAATTCAAGATAATGGCTGTCACTCGGTGCATATTCATCACAGATGGCTTTTCAGTGTGGCTAGTCACATCCCTCTGGAGTCTGTGGCTGTGTCAAGGGATAGAGACGGGGCTGAGTTATATCACTCTTCTCACTGTCGTGTACCATGGGGACTTCCTTCTGTTAAATCATGGAATAAGGATGGTGAAGTTTAACTTCTTCAAACTGATTCTAAAGCTGTAATTCTCCCTCTGACTCTATCTCCTTGTGAAAGCTTGTAGTAGCATCAGATGAGCTGAGAAGACAGAGCTGTGGACAAGTCTCTCTCAACAAATCAAATATTGTTATCACAGCACATCACGACAAAGACACTCTCAGAAGGACCTGGGAGTGATGGTGGACAGTCTGCTGAATATGAGCCAGCAGTGTGCTCAGGTGGCCAAGAAGGCCAACGGCATCCTGGCTTGTATAAGAAACAGCGTGACCAGCAGGGCTAGGGAGGTGATCGTCCCCCTGTACTCGGCTCTGGTGAGGCCGCACCTCGAGTACTGTGTTCAGTTTTGGGCCCCTCGCTACAAGAAGGACATCGAGGTGCTTGAGCGGGTCCAAAGAAGGGCGACGAAGCTGGTGAAGGGCCTGGAGAACAAGTCCTACGAGGAGCAGCTGAAGGAGCTGGGCTTGTTCAGCCTGGAGAAGAGGAGGCTCAGGGGTGACCTTATTGCTCTCTACAGATACCTTAAAGGAGGCTGTAGAGAGGTGGGGGTTGGCCTGTTCTCCCATGTGCCTGGTGACAGGACGAGGGGGAATGGGCTTAAGTTGCGCCAGGGGAGTTTTAGGTTAGATGTTAGGAAGAACTTCTTTACTGAAAGGGTTGTTAGACACTGGAACAGGCTGCCCAGGGAAGTGGTGGAGCCACCATCCCTGGAAGTCTTCAAAAGATGTTTAGATGTAGAGCTTAGGGATATGGTTTAGTGGGGACTGTTAGTGTTAGGTTAGAGGTTGGACTCGATGATCTTGAGGTCTCTTCCAACCTAGAAATTCTGTGATTCTGTGATTAGTAACTGCCCTCTGCCATCAACCGGGGCTAAAGCTCACACGTACTTTTCTCACTTTATTATGTAATAGCTGGAGATACATTGAGCTCCAGTAAAATTGAACCCATCACCTGCATTTACAGCAATAATGTTAATCAGCAGATTTTTCAGGGCCATAGTGATCTGTGTCACATGTCTCCCTATAACAGCCCATTTTTAACATGGGAAACTGATGAATTCTTCTTTTAATTCCATTGCATTAGCATTAGTTTTCATTGATTCATAGAATGTGAAGTGAGTCATTTCTGCATCTGCAGATGTCCAACCATAATAGGAAAAAATATCTGTTTGTTACAATTTGGTTGCAGTTAGTAAAAATTTTAAAAGATAAAGTTCCTGTAATTTTGAATCATAGAATATCTGAGTTGGTGATCCACAAAGATCAAGTCCAACTCCTGGGTCCCCAAAGGACAACCCAAAAAAAATCAAACCATGTGTCTGAGAGCATTGTCCAAAAGCTTCAACTCCAGCAGGCCTGGTGCCATGACCACTGCCCTGGGGAGCCTGTCCCAGTGCTCTGGGTGCAGACCCTTTCCCTAACCCCCAGCCTGACCCTCCCCTGTCCCAGCTCCATGCCGTTCCCTCGGGTCCTGTCGCTGTCCCCAGAGAGCAGAGCTCAGTGCCTGCCCCTCCGCTCCCCTCGTGAGGGAGCTGCAGGCCGCCATGAGGCCTTCCCTCAGCCTGCTCTGCTCGGGGCTGAGCAAACCCAGGGACCTCAGCTGCTCCTCATACACCTTGCCCTCCAGACCCTTCACCATCTTTGCAGCCCTCCTTTGGGCACTCTCCAATAGTTTCACATCTTTTTTGTACTGTGGCACCCAGGGCTGCACGCAGTGCAGAGTGGGACAATCCCTTCCTCATACTGTTTAGTATGTAACCTCATACTGAACACATTGCTGTTTCCTAACAATGTCCCTAACATGAATGGCTTATCATACAACCACAAATGAACTGAGTAAAGGCACTGAAGTATTAACAAATATTTGTTAGACCCTAGAACCATTGCTATCAATGATGCTTAGGGATGACCTTCATTAGCAGCTGCTTGATTTTATGCTAGTGTAGTAGAGTAGTAGAAGAATAGTAGAAGATCAAGATCTTCATGGTGGTCTTTCAATATTTAAAAGGGGGCTGTAAAAAATATGGAGAGCAACTTTTTGTTTGGGCAGATAATGATAGAAAAAGAGGGGATGGTTTTAAACTAAAAGGGGAGAGATTTAGATTAGATGTTAGGAGGAAGTTCTTCACTCAGAGGGTGGTGAGGCCCTGGCACAGGCTGCCCAGAGAAGCTGTGAATGCCCCATCCCTGGAGGTGCTCAAGGCCAGGCTGGATGGGGCTTTGGGCAACCTGGCCTGGTAGGAGGTATCCCTGCCCATGGCAGAGGGTTGGAACTGGGTGGTCCTTAAAGTCCCTTCCAACCCAAGCTGTTCTATGACTCTGATTCTCTGATCAATAACTCATTGTATTTTATGCTGAATGAACACATTGGAAGACATTGTTCTTCACTCACAGATCCTGTAATAGGAAAAGCACACAGGAAGAAGGCAAATGCTAACACAGTTTGTCAGATAAGCAAATAACCTTGTTGTATTTCTATTGCAGAATTAGTTTTTCTTTGTTCTTTGGCCTGTTTTTACCAAGGGAATTTTGGACACCATGTAAAGGTAGGAAAGGGTAATGAAGGACTGCTCCTTTCTTTTATGTAAGCAACAGAAGAAGCTAAAGGGTAACTGGAGAAGGGGAAGAAACTGAGAAAAGATCACTTTCAATATAGTGTAAAGAACGGAGTGAATATATTTTTATAGGCTCATAGGACTGATTGGTGCTGAATAAAATTTAAGAATTATGACTCTTCTTGCATTTGTGAGGAACAGGGTTGGAAAATACTGTGAAGCATATTTCTCGTTTCCTGAAAGTCTATCAGTAGCACAGACAGGAGATGAATAGAAGTTTAATCCTCATGACATTTTTCAGTGATCTGGATACAAACATTTTGGATTTGGGGCATCTCTGTAGATAAGTAGAGCTTGGAAGAAAAGCAAATAGACATTTTCAGAAAATTAGGTGACAGCATCTCAATACGTTTTTTCTTCCCAGAAACAAATGATAGGAAAATATCTTTCAAACATTTTCAAAGCAGCTTTTTAAAGGATAATAACAATCAAAAGAGCAGCATGGATACAGCTGAAATAGGGTTGTGTGTTTTCTGGAGGCTTTTTCATACTTGATGAGATTTTACGATCAATACACATGGAGTTTCCAGCAGAATTATCTTTCAAAGCATCTGCTGCACTTAAAAGAATTTTCTCCATGTACACACAAAGCATTTATTTTATTTAAGAAAGAGAGAAAGAGAAAGAGAAAGAGAAAGAGAAAGAGAAAGAGAAAGAGAAAGAGAAAGAGAAAGAGAAAGAGAAAGAGAAAGAGAAAGAGAAAGAGAAAGAGAAAGAGAAAGAGAAAGAGAAAGAGAAAGAGAAAGAGAGAAAAGGAAAAGAAGAAAGAAAGAAACACCAGGAAAATACAGCTTCCTGGATTTTGGTAAATAGATAACTGATGAGAAGAAAATTTTGCTTACTAAAACTGATTCAGATGCAAAGGGAAACATCTCTTGACAACAAATGAACTAGTGCAGTTTATTCTAATAAAGTGTATCTTTCTCCATTTTTTTTTCTACATTAAATGGGGTCATTTATTACTAATACAGTTCTCAACTACAGTAAGATTTGTATATACTTTGCAGTGAAGATGTACCTTTTAACCTGTGGTTGCATGCTGCAGTGCCTGTTGGGTTGTTCCTTAGAGACATCATAACTCCTGTCTGAGTAGCACATGCATTCTCATTAATGAGATGGCATTAATTAGCAAACACTTAGTGAATCATGTGAGCCACAGTTGTTCCCAAGTGCTTTTCATTGTCTTGTTTTAATGTTTTTTTATTGACAGAAAAGTCTAATGGCCTAGAATTAGCAGCTTTCCAGTATCTAAAGGTGTACTACAAGAAAGAAGGAGAGGGATTCTTTGTCAGGGGGTGGAGTGATAGGTCAAGGGGAAATGGTTTTAAATTAAAAGAAGGTAGGCTTAGATTAGATATAAGGAAGAAATTATTCACTCAGAGGATGGTGAGGCATTGGAATGGGTTGCCCAAAAAAGCTGGAGGTGCTCCATCCCTGGAGATGTTCAAGGCCAGGCTGGATGGGGCTTTGGGCAACCTGGGCTGGTGGGAGGTGTCCCTGCCCATGGCAGGGGGTTGGAACTGGGTGATCTTTAAGGTCCCTCCAAACCCAAACCATTGTATGATTCTATGAATGGAACAAGGGCTTACTCTGGGTTTGCTCTTGGCTGTCCTACATGGCACCATGAGTGCCTCTGTGGGAAGAAACAATCAGCTGTGGGTCACGGAGGTGTCAGTATTTGGCGGTTTATAGGCTTCTGGAGAGCATGCATATGGTGAAAACACTCACCAGAAAAATGAAGATCAAAGTTCAGTGCCTGTGAGCATTAAAATCCATATCTCTGTGCAGCCATGTATTGGAGCTGAAAAGTGACACATTTTTAAATCAACTAGAGGACCTATTTTCATGCACAAAGTGTAATTAAAAAGGGGAACTCATTCCCTCAAGTTATTCCAAAGGCCAAGACTTGCATGAAATTGAAAACTGTATTATCAGTTTACAAGATAACAACGGCTGCAATTATGTAGATGAGATTTTACGTATAACCGTTATTTACAGAATAACACAAATCTATTTATATACATTGTGCATATGTATGAAAGACATAGACTTGAAGAGGACAGCTTTATTATGGCTGTATTATTCAGTATTATTCAATTTTGTTTTTTTTTCCTGAAGCATTCTGGTACTGCATTCTGTGAAAGTCCCTACCAAAATGAGGCAGGTCTTAGGTTTGAGTCTTTGTGAATTTACTTGGAAAAATAAAAAATAAAGGAAAAGGAAAACATAAATAGCACTTTTTAATAGAAAATGCTGAAACAAATCTGTTTTGTTGCCTTGGAGTCAGCATTCTGTCCTGCACAACCAGAATTCCCTTGTCTATTACAGCAATACCTTTCAGGCTATGAGGATGGGTAAATGGACCAACAGAGCAATACACCAGCTCCTTTAAGCTCTTTATCAGTGACACCACTGTCCAATTAGCACTTGATTTTCTGAGAAATATTTATCAGTACAAATTAATCTAGTACCTTTCAGGACCAAAAGGGAAAGTTTACTATAAAACTATACCTGCTGGTGATGGCATTAGCTACTGCTAATTATGCCAGCTGCGGTGTAGCTGATTGGCTCACTGTTTGAATTTCTATGGAGGAAGCATTTGGTATAAATTTTCTAATTTGCAGCTCTCTGAGGGTGATGTCATGGTTTACTAGCATAGAAATATTTACCATAAGAAATGGACTTGGCTTTAAGCTGCAAGGGATTTGGGGCTTGTGGGTTTTGCATTGTTAGCTCTTTTAATTATACAAAAGATTTCCCACGTGTAAGGACCTTTTGAGTGACTCACAACAACAGTTATGAGCAGAACTAAATTAAATACAGCATAAATTTAAATACACACAATCTTATTAGACATTTGCAAGATAATTTTCCCATTATGGCTAAATGTGTTTGTAAGGGTAACAGCCGTTCCAGAAATAAATGTTGTACTTGGGTGGATCATTTGTTCCCTTTACTGTTTAAACTTTTGTTCTGTGAAGTTTAATTATATGTGATTGTCTATAATGGTGAATTTTTTCTTCTGAAGTCTAATGCTTTAAGGCCTGTACAACCACAGGACACAGAGATCACGGGTGCTGGTACAACATGCCTAGAGTTCGCGAGTTCAGTGCGGTGTATTGAGTTTCTTGCTGGGCTGGAAGTCTTCACAGTACTAATTTTAATCTAAACACAGGCAAAGAGGATTATTAAACTGCCGTGCATGGGATATAACTCATACAGAATATCTTTGCCCTGTCTTCAAGCTAATTTAGGTTTGGTTTTGCAACAGCAGCATGCAATGCTGCATTTGGATTACCATCACAAATTTCTGGCTAGTTTTCACAGCAATTTTAAACTTGTTTTGTCACACAAACACAATATTGCAGCTTAGGAAAATGTGCTGTATTAGGTGCCTGGCCACAGACTCTGTCCCAGGGCTGGTGCATGACAAATGAATATTGCTCAATCTTCTCCTGCTGCTGGACTCACCCAGCAGTCTATTCTTAGGGTAGTTCTGTAGCCACTGTGATAAATGCTTCATGCAGTCAGCGTTCACGTCAAAAGCCTGTACAAATAGTGAATATTGTGCAAAAATACTCTGAAATATGATCCAATACATGACTGAATTTTCTTCCTGTTTCCAGAAATGAACTACCACTATGAGGAGAAAAAGATGCCAGTGCAGCAGAAGGCCTGACTCAGGGGATTATTCTGTGGGAGCTTGTTCCCTTACTGCTAGGCAGCTGACTGAGGTGCCTAAGCCAGGAAGCCAGGCATTCTCAGACTTGCACTGTTATAAGAGCGAGCCATGCCCTCTGCAGGGTGATTCTGTTCATCTGAGATTAAACATAATGAAAGAACACAAAGAGGCATCATCATCTCTGATTATGAGGGAACCTGAATAAACCTGTGGTCCCCAGCTGGGCGCCTGAGCTGCAAGTAGGTACGTGCAAAGAAGCTGAGCTCCACTCTGATGAGGGCATCTTCATCTGTGTTAACGCTTGTAGGTCATCACTGGTACGTGGGAGCCTGGTGGCATTGGAGACTGCGCAAACAAACAGACACCTCCTGATCTAAAGAAAGAGTTAAAATTGTGGTTAGAGAAGGCCAGAGGTGATAAGGCAACACCAGTAAACTTTGCAGACTCTGAACAGCTCAGAGAATGTATAAATTATGGTTTTATAAGCTAAATTTTTTAGTCTCAGTCAGGCTAGAGCAAGATGCCACAGGCCACAGAGAAGGGGCTCCAGAGGAGAGCTTTTCACTTTCTCAGCTAGGACTCACAACTCAATCCTTACCATTGAGTATAAAATTAAGATTAAACGTTAGATCTAGTCTGCCAGGAGACAAGGTGACAAGTTCAGCATCTCTTCTTTCTGTATTTGCAAGGAAATTTTATAGTGCACTTAAGTATAGTACCACAGCTTTATCGGTGATTAGATAAAAGAAGGTCTTTACCCTTGAGCAATGCTCTTTTGGCATTGCACTCAAGCTCAGGCTGAAGTTCTTACTTGCAAATACAATGAAACCTTGCTACGTTGCATTTAAAACCTAATGCCTGGGCAAGATATATCCTTGATATGCTGTCCTGTGTTTTAAGATCTTAAATCATAAATTAATTTCACTACTAAGACTGTTTTCTTTGTGTTAAAATACACTGCATGTGCATTCTTTGATGCAATATTTGCATTTTTTTATTTGCCAGTCATTTTCAGTAATTAATGTGTTCTGCAAAGTCATTTTAAAATTAATTTGTTTGTTTGTTTGTCAAATGGTTTCTTGAACTCCCTTCCCTCCCATCTTTAAGCAGACACTTAATATCGTATATGTTAGTACAGTAACTGCTTTCATGATGTTTCAGGTATTAAAGAGAAACTTTCTTTGGTTAAGGTATCATTACAGGGAAAAAGAGAGAGAGAGAGAGAGAGAGAGAGAAATGGGTCACTTTCAAATTAGAAAGGGAAGGAAAATAAGTTTTATTTGAATAAAAGACTTCTGGAAAAGATTTCACAGCCAGCCTAGGAAACTTTACACCAAACAAATGAAGATATTTACTTGTTACACATCCCTTCAGTATATGCTACACAGTTTGTCTACAAGGAGACACCATACAGAGAACACTTAACCTTGGAGATTTATTATCCTAGTCCTTGAATAAACAGAAGAATATCTAAACAACATTACAAAAATATACAAAGGTCTGAGTCTGGAAAATGATCTTTTTCAAATCAAATTGTCTTGAGGATTTTCTGCCAAGTGCCAACTGACTCTTAGAGCTCTGAGAACCTCCTGCTACTGCTGATATGACAGGCAGGTCACCTCGCGGGCAGAAGTGTACTCACAGATTATAGTTGTAAGTGTCTCAATTTTTTGTGTGTGTGAAATCCACTGAAGGTTACAGAATATGGATTTGCACAGCTCTTTCTTTCTTTCTTTCTTTCTTTCTTTCTTTCTTTCTTTCTTTCTTTCTTTCTTTCTTTCTTTCTTTTTCTTTTTTTTTTCATCCTGAGTGAAATAATTCCCTTTTGGGTTTTATTGAAAGTAGAGGTCATGAGTCATCTTCACTGCGAGAAGTACTGGAACCTGGAAGGAGATGAGAAGGATGATGCCATTGTCAGCTCTTCTACTTGGATCCAGTCCCTACTTTTCTGAATGACATATTCCAGCTCTATATTCACAGCTGGCTGCTCCATCAAGCTCCCCATCTTTGCATAGTGTAAACTGTGTGGGATCCCATCTTCTTGAAGAATAATGAGCTTTCCCATCTGGTTTTCACTTACTCAGTCATTCTTCACAGGGAAATCTCACTCTGAAACTCTCAAGCCACGCACTGCAGGATTATTGCTCTGGATCTTTGCACAGTTAATGTCATTTCCAATACTAATCCAGTCTGTGTGTTAGGCCAAACAGCCCATATTTGCCAAGTAGTTGGCAAATGCTGGTAACCTATGACTGATCTCCCAAAATAACAAGATGAGTTGTTGCCAGCTTATGACTTCACATGCTCTGGGCAGGGCAAGACAAGAGCAGCTGACGAACGTGTGTGTGGAAAAAATAAATAAAAGACAGGGATGAAACAGCTAGGGAAGGAAACACAACCACGAAAGTAAGTGAAGGCATTACCAGCTTAAGAGAACCAGGAAATCTTGAAATTGGTGAAAGATGCAGTGAGCACTTGGTGTGTCAAGCAGCTGAGGGTGCACAGAGCCCTGGCTACCCGGCTCCCAGGTACAAAAGGACACTCAACTAGTTGGTGGGCTTGGAGGACCACATTTCACTACTGAGCCTTGCACTGCTGTGTTTTCATGTAATGAAGCCCAGTTGCTAGAAGACAGGCCATGTTTCCTCAGTCTGTGTCCCACTGCCCATAATTATCACTTTGTCACCAGTAACTGTGTCAGAACTCCAGGTTCCAGCCAAAATTTAGTTGTTGTGCTGTTTTGGTGATGTCCTGTGAATTCATTAGCTCTACAGTGGTAGTGTTTCAGACTGCATGGATCAACCCTATCAAAATGAGCTTCTCAAACAAACGTAACAAATAGTTATAACATCTTCTAAGTAAAGCAAAAAGTTCTGCAAAGGAGGCGTGGTCAGAGCTCTCTGCTGCTTGGCAGAAGAAACAAGTTTTCTTGTTTCTCCAATGACAAAGAAACCCTACAGACACTCATGGTAGGTGAGTGTCTACCTACAAAAAGGACACTGGAGGGTTTAGGCAATTCATACCTTCCTGTGATGATTCAGAGAGTGTCAGGGGCTTCTGCAAATACTAACAGGCTGAGAAAGTGGGGAATGAGCTGGCAATTCTGGTGGCATAAAAATATCTATCTATTACCAGTCCTGGGAAGCCTGGAGATAAAAAATGCTCCATGTTATTTTAAGACATGGATATTTGAACTCAAAAAATTCAAGATGTTCATCTGAAGACCACAATAAGGTCCTTGTAAGTCAGGTATAAAGAGCTGATGAGAAACTCAGAGCAAGTCCATGTTACAAGTATCTTGACAAATGACAGTATTTCAACACTCCACAATATTTTAAGTTCTGATTTCTGTCAAGACATTTGTGTTTCTGAAGCCAATAAACAGCATCTTGAAATATGGGCAATGGTGTAAGACCTACCCTTTCCACTGAAAAGCTCTTTTGCCCTGAAACTATATACATTTGATGCCTTAATATAAAAGCAATCAAGCAAAAAGCAACAACATTGTACAAAGAAGATAGAGTATGTCACTTTTACTATGCTGTAGTTTTACTGAGTTTGATCTATGCCCTTGCCTGGACTTAATCTGACAAAATACTTGATCATTTGGTCAAATCTGGAGAAGAAGAAAAGGGGTTGCTGGAGAGAAAAGGAAGCTGAGGGGCATAAGGATTCAGAAATTCCATTTCACTAAAATCTTAACTCTTGGCAAGGTAGCATCACTTACATTCTGTTGCTTTTTATAAGAAAAAACAAATTCTGTCCCATGTGAAATGTCAGTATTTGAAACATTCATTTGAAATATGAGAAAGTAGTTGTCAAACAGTTGCTTTGCCTGTTTCAGAACAAAGACCTAAACACCAGCATCTGAGTGGCATGGGTAATGCCCTTAACTCCTAAGAAAGCTGCTATTTTGGGGTGAGTTTCCCTCATCCTTTGTGCTGGAGCTTTTTAACACTTTCTATAATGAATCAAGTAGAGGAGGGAGAAAAATGAATCTGTGTTTCTCGTGTGCTAGACAAGTCCCCTGCCTTCGTGAGCAATCCTTTTTTCTTAACAATATAAGGAAGGAGAATCACTGTTGGCTTTCTCCTCTCCTTTTCTCTCCCTCTCCTCTTCCTCTCCCCTTCCCTTCATTTCCTTTCCCCTTCCCCTTTCCTTTTCCCTTTCCTTCTAGAGAGCTTTTGTGCTAAATTTCCCTAGTATCAAAGTATTTCTAGTCCTGAAGCAATACATACTGAAATCAATGTTTTCAACGAACATTGGGCCCCTTTGGTGCCTGGATAATATACAGGAAAAGATCCGAATTGGTCATATTCTCCTTCCCAGTACTATTCTTCTGCTCAGTTTTTCCCACCTTATATATTAAAATCTATTTATATCATTTTATGTTTTTACTTGTATTTTTCACACAAACATAAGCATTTGCATTCCAGACATGCAGTAGCTGAAAAATGAAAGTAAACAAGAAAACTAATAGATCTCTATGATTTCACAGAAACTGCAAGTCATCATTAATATTTCCAAACCTGGTTAATTTTGTATTCATTTCCATAGGATCTCAAAATAATTGTGTTTCTTGCTCATGACTAAAGAATTAAAGGGCGTATTGACATTTGAAACATCCTAAAACTGTAATATTTTTCTACATTAGGTTTGTTAAACCTAAAATTCTCCCTTAATGGAAAACAAATTCTTAAAGCACCAGAGTATAATTATACTAGTAGCTCATGAACACCTAGGATTTTTCATAAAAGTATGAATGCCCTTAACATCTTAGGGGGAAAAATTTAGAAATATCTGTGCTGAGTGTTAATACAGATAACTCCCACCTGATGGTCAGTTATAATCTTGCTGAGAACACACATAACCCATCACCAGTGGCCATAACAGAAAAGAGAGGAGCCTGCTTTTCATCTTCATTCTCTGGCTGACTGCCATGTGTCATGGGGTCTGTCCCACAGGGCAAGGGCATCTGTCAGAGGAGTTCTGCAGGAAAGACCCTACTTGGTTCTTCTCTGCACACACCCATAAGGGATCAAATGGCCACGTAGCGTATCCACTGATATTCATTCATTCAGCTCAGGGGAGGTGCCTGAGAGAAAGTAAAGAAATAAGAAAGGAATGTTGGACACAACCATCTGCTACCCAGCAATATGAATTAAGGATCAATACCTTTGGAGTCCCATACAGTGCAGTACACTGTCTTCTTCTTTCTCTTTTCTGTTTTTCATGACACATTCTTCTCCATCACCACCACCTCCTGACACACTTCCTTTTTCACCGAAGAATCAGTATTTTATTCCCAGGACACTGTCTGTATTGATTCCTTCATGAGACTTGTCATCAGTTCCTGTAGTTTATAACATGGATTAATGGTGTTTTTGACTTATGAAATATTGCACAGAAGTTCAAGTCAGGCTGATCATCCTCATCTGTTGTTTTCTCTTACCAATTCAATAAGAAATGTTTCGTGTCTTTAAAAACAATGTAAATGAAATCTTGTCTATTTTCTTCTCACTTCTTATCATAGTCCAAATGATGTTTCCTAATCCAGCAGACACTGCCAAACACCTCACAAAGTGTGTCTTATGCCATCTGAGGATAAGTTTCTTGATGAGACATTTGTAAAAGATATGAATTGAAGGCAAGAGCTCAGTGAAAAAGTTGTAGCATTAATTTGTTCTTGTGAGAAGTAGGGGCATAAACCAATATAAATGCTTTTGATCCCTCCAGCATCCACATCTGAGCCGGTAACTGAAGTCTTTTCCCAAGCCTGAAGACTTGTTCATCAAGCCCTCTCTGCAGAGGTGTCAACTGGAATTACATGTGGAAAAAAAGCTTTCCTTCCCCCAACTTCTTCTAGCTTCCCCTTCCTTTACAAACTTAACACATACATTAGTTTTAATAAAAGATTCCCTTGGCAGTTGAACCTCTTGGCAATTTTCTGTCTCAGGCAATGTTCAGTAGCCTGAGAGCCCTTGTTTTTTTCTCTGTTATTCCATTATTTTGCTTGTGTTGTTGATATTTTCCTGTTACAATATCCTTTAAGGCCCTTGGGAGTGACATGTTCTGCCCACCACCCTTTTTTATGCCACAGAGATTTTCTTTGCTCACCAGAAAATGTTTTGGCCATTGTGATACCAACTCTGAAGGGAGCCCACATAATTGCTATGGATGCACACTCTTTTGGACTTGGCGTACCATAATACTGATACTGACTTCTCTGCACTTTTGTGCAGAGCAAAAAGAAAGACACCACCTGTCTGCCATGCCAATCTGTTGCTTTCTTTATTTCTTACATGATAAAGCTTCTTTTTCTTTTTTTTTTTTTTTTGATCCTTGTAAGGTAGGTGGGGGATTCATCTTGCCTCACCTTGTCGTTGATTTCTACAGCATTAGTCATCCAGACTCCTTTCACCGACTTTGGAAGGAAACGAGCGCTTATAAGGAGGAAGTTATATTAGCAAAATGTGAAATACAAAATCTTCTAACTAGATATATAATTCTGTTAGCTGCCAGCAAGACCTCAGCACTCAGCATGATGCCGTAGATGACAAAGCTGGGAATGAGAAGGTAAAGAAGAGTAACACCACCCCACTTGCACATTTTCTATTTCCTGTGCAGTGAGATTTATAAGGTCCCTTCTGGAAATTTCAGACTATTAAATACTTAGAAGGTAACAGGTACTGGAAAAGCTGCCTGTGCTCATTTTATTCCTCAGCTTTCATACTATTTCATTGCTTTTGTATCTGGATTTTATGTTCCCCCTGCTCCTTGTTTCTTTTAAGCCTGTTTTCCAAACAGCAATATTGTTCTTTCTCTTGCCTCCTTTCTCAGCTTTCATGTTCTCTACATTCTTCCTATTTCCACTCATTTCCCTCCAGGCTATTTCCCTTCCCTCAGGCTGTCTGGTTATCTTTTCCTCCTCACAATCCTTGATATGCTGAATCTTAAACTTGTCTTCTTACACATTCATCCCTTCAATCTCTTTTTTTCTTTTTTGTCTTTTCCCAGAACATTCTGTTCCTCGAATACTTTCTCTCTTTCTCTTTGACCTGTAGTGATTAACACTCACTCACATGGTACTTTTTTTGCTCCAGCCCTACATTCATCCAAACCCATGGTTCCACACCCCCTTGCATAGGCAGAGGGCAAGGAGGATGACTAAGAGTATGTTGTGTCGGTGGAGGAGGATGTTCCCTCTGCCAAACTGCAACCACACTGCACCCTCTGCAGATGGCTCTTGTCATGCTGAGTGCTTCAACAAGCCTGCTTTCCTCCCTTGGGTTTCACTTACGACATACACCGCAACAATTTCTCCTACTTCCCCTGTAAACTCTTCCTGAAGAATAGCCTTCCGCACCAGTTCTCCAGGCTT